TGTTAACATATAATGTCTTAACCAAATATTTTAATTTTCGCATTATTTTTTTTGTAGCAGAAGAGAAGGTCGGTTAGCATGTTACGCCCGTGGTTCTCTAGCAATAAATCTCCATGACGTATATCTGAGAAACACATGTGAATCGGTTGTCTGGGTGTTAAGGTTCTGGAAGATGACAAATGGCCAAGGTATATACATATTTCCTCATATATGTCTTAAAATCTGAATGTTGAATAAAACTTTTGTCTATTAATTGTTGTTTAGGAGTCGATAAGAAGTCTGTGGTTCTCCGATCTAATGATCTATGCTTAGATTTTTTTGTACAATCCTATCGATGCAGAAGTTGATGCATTTAGAGCGACGTGAGTATTTAAAATATTGGGGTCTATATATATTATTGTTTCAATGTTTATTAAAACGTTTTGGTAATGAATTTTTATCATTTTTGTAGGCGGAACCAACTACAGACGTGAGCATCGACTGTTTGATGTTATTTGTAGACTTCCTCTGTTCTGCCTCCCTATTTACACTGTTTCTTCTTTGTGTTCTCGAACTCATTACTTAGTAATTTTATGCCTGCTTTTAAAACTAAGATCAGTGCTTTTGTTTAATACTTTCTGATTGTTTATATATTAATTTTGTGATGTATTATCAAACTATATTTTATTAATTATATGTGTTTTATATAGCTCATATTGTTAGGTTCGATGTCAGGCTATGTCCTTTTTATAAGATTTATGTGGCTTATGTTATGGAAAATATTTACATTATTTTTGGTGTAGTCAGAGTAATTGCCTAAAGTAAACATACTATAAATCAGGATACTTGCCTAAGGTAAACATATTAGGAAATATATATAATTTGACTATTTGTCACATGAAAACGTACTGAATGTCGTCATAAATTTTCAATATACTTCTAACTATAATTGTCTTTTCCAAGACCTCATAAAAAACTTTAATGATCGTGATAGTAAAGATATTATACGATATGGACCCAATCGTGTTTAGTCTTGATGGTTTTTCAGGAAAATCAAAATCAGTAATATTTTTGTAGAGATTTCTATTCGTTTAATGTTTAGATGTTTATTTGCATAATAATATCTGGTATACCTATATCAACAATATTAAATCATGATTAATTAATGGGTCCAGTATATATAAATTTTTAGCTACCTTAATAACCAAATTATATTCAGATATCGAGATAAAAATAAAAAATAATAATACAATCATGAATTCCTTAATTTAACAATGATTTATTGGTATGAAAACATTAATATACACATATGTTTTGTCTTCGAATTAAAACAAAATTTTAAATCATATAGAAAGAAGATGTACATATATAGATTGTGTTTTGTTATTATTTTTTTAAAATTATAAAGTTATAGATAATTTGTTTTTTAGTGGTTGTGATCATATTGTATTTATATTTAATATATATGTATATATATATATATATAATGGATAATGGAAATCGTTTTAAATGACTCGATTCAAGTAAACGGTTTCTAATGAATCGTCATCATTATGCGTAATAATTTTTTAAAAAACTTAACGTGTATATATAGATGATCTGATAAAGACTCGATGCAACAGAACATAACTACTTTCTGATATTTTATTCTCTCTAAATATCTGACAAACATGGGTAGTTATGATTTGGTTCATGAGATGAATGGATGGAGAGATGACTGGAGGATTGTGGTTAAAGTTTTGAAAAAGTGGAGCGTGAACAATCCACAGGGATTAACATGTCTTGGTTTCATTATGACCGATGAGAACTTTAGTTTTCTTATAAACTAAACTCTTTAGTATTGAATCTCTGGTTCTGTATATTTCTTTATTGTTACTATAATTTCTATATTTTTTCTTATATTGTAGGGATGCCGAATTCAGGCAATTGTTCACAATCCGATGTTCGAGTATTTTGAACGAGTTTGCCATGAAGGTCACTGGATTATGTTATCTCGGTTTAGTCTTAACCGATTGCTCAGTAATGATTGCGATAAGATAACTAGAAACGATTTTATGATTACTCTGACTGACGACACAAAGGTTTCACGTATAATATCAGTATCTAATAAAGCATTCCTTAGTTTCGTACAATTTTCACAGATTATCAATAATCCTTTCGCTCATGAGTATCCTATTGGTTAGTATAATCATATATTGTTTATTTGTTTTTTTTTTTTTTTTGAAAAATTCGTTGTAGTTTTATTGATATGTGTGTTTATTCAGATTTGATTGGTGTACTTGACATTGTAAGAGATCTCATACCAGTTGTGCAGACAGATGGAAAAATTGTCCTGACACTTCGTTTTCGTCTTAAAAACAATGAGTAAGCGCATTCTTTTTATTTTCTATTGCTTATTGTTATGATAATTTAGTTTTACAATAACTCTATTATGTAATTTGAAGGGATAATGCATTCGAATGTATCGCATATGGCTCATTAGCATCTGACATAAAGGAACAATGCATAGGATATGATGGTCCATTTGACGTCTGTGTTTTAACCGATTGGTGTGTTACGAGAACTGGAGGTATACCTTTTAATTTGATATAACTCTAAACAATTTGAATTTTTAGATATCATCGTGCGTATTGATTCTTTTTTCTTAGAAGAAATTACTATCCAAAATCACAAAGAAGAAGGTCTTTCGCGTTTCATAACTGCTCCTGGAATGGATGAAGTTTCTGAATTTCGGGCAAAGTAAGATAATTATTATGACATTAACCCTACTCCCTTAATACAGTTTTTTTGTAGTACTATATTGTTTACAT